AAATCATGATTTTTTTCAGTGGCTGTGTGACTGTGTCTGACACATTCATATGCAAATGACTATCTGTGAAACAAACAGGGGCGGAGACAAACCACTCAAATGTTTGGAAACACTCATTGTGTGTCAGATAGCTACTGATAACACATCCTAACATTGCTTTGTCTTGAGTTTATCTTTGAAACTTATAGGCACACAGATTAAACCTGTGTTGTTGATTTTGGAAAACACTACTGAGGCTGCCTTGCTTCCCTTCAGAAAATCTACATTTTAACCAACTTACATGACATTCTATGTTATATTGACTTTATCATATGAAAGTTTATGGTGCATTTCATCAATTAATAAATAAATGTGAAAATCGTAATTTTCAACACAAATAATAGTCTCGCTACCTTAAACCATTTGGAAGTGACAAATTAAGGTGGCCAGGGAGTTGTCTTCAGGTCATAAAATTAAGGATTACAATTAATCACACATCTTGATCCAAACTGCAATCGAAATGCGAACAGTCACTTTGTGAGAATCCAAATTTACTAACTTCATAAGCAGTCATGATGTCAACAAAAATGCATCGCTATTTTAAGTTAAGCGTCTGCTATATTGCAGTATTTGGATAAACATTAAATAGGCTTAACTTGGTGAGTGTATCACAATGGAAAGACTAAAGTTACTATCCAAGATTCAATCACTAATGAATGAGACTTTGGCCTGCAGGTGCTTGTGTTTGATGGGGCCTGGTTAACGCCAGGATAGCGCATTAAATTGACATAATGCCACTATGATGATAGGATGATATCAGCACTCACACTTGCAAATTGTACTTTAAAAACAAGCAGCCTGTCGGCTGAGATAGCTCCACTGTTAGTAATGCACATTTAGAGAATTGCAGATATCATCATGAAATGCACAAATCTAAGAGAGGTCTACCCATGGTACATATACACCAAGTATCAAAGCATTCAGGCTTGTAGTTTTCAAGAAGAAGTCGAAAAAGTAAAACATTGACACGGACGACGACGACGGACAATCACTCATATGATAAGCTCCGCTCGACAAAGTCGACAGCGGAGCTAAAAAAGAGGGTAAAATAACTTACTTTATCTGGTAAAGGTATCAGTGAACCCCATACCCTGACTGCTGCAGCATTAACCCCAAGCTCCTCTTCCATTTCTCGCAATGCAGTATGTGTAATGTCTTCATCATTTGGGTCAGACATTCCACCTGGAAAGCTACATACACGTATTAAGATTATTTATCAACAAATGCAAAACATAGAGCAGCATTAACGAAGTTCAGAATTAGAGCAAATAATTTAGATCCAAAAAAATACCTAGCAATGGTATGAAGTGCACTGTCTGCAACTAAAATAAGGTTGAAAATGAGATGCAAGTTGTATGAAAATGAGAGGACTTAAATGTTAATGAAAAAAAATTAAATGCTAATGAATTCGTAAATGCTATCAAATAATAACGATAATCAAATTAGCAAGCTACATTATTATTATTATTATTACATGACATAATCAGAAGGCCTCTCAAGACATTCTTATTATCCTTTTTTCACAAATTCCATAAAAATACAAATTGGTGCAGAGTAGACAAATCTGGATGATACGGTACAGAATCAAGGATAGCAATCAAATTGAGACACTACTGTAAAAGCATTTAATTTTCACTGTGGTTTTTAATTTTCACAATTTTTAGAATATTAGGTGGGGTTTAAATTCTAACGGTATTGTAATTTCACACACTCACTTAAAGCGGGTGTGTTGTCACCTGCGCATACATCAGATGGCCATAGCGTGTCAATGTTTACAAACAAGCATCTACCCATGTGCTTCTGCGTTTTTAGCGTGTGTTCTTATCATCGCTTGGGACTCAATTCATGTGCTTGCGCAGGTAGTAGATTTCAGATATCAAAGAAAACTTACTAACAGTATATATTATCTTGCAATAGAGCAACAACAAATACTATCACAAATATTGCTATTTAAAGCGGGAGGGTCGCCACCTGCACATACGCGTGAATTGAGTCCCAAGTGACAATAACACATGCTAAAAATGCAGAGACTCATGGGTAGACACTTGTTTGTAAACAACGACACACTATGGCTATTTGCCACATGTGTAGGTGACGACTCCCTCGCTTTGAAATTTCGCTTTTTGAAGATGAAAGTACCCCACAGTCAATGTTTATACACAGCTGTTGAAAAGCAAAACAAACATGTGGTTACTCTACAGTAATACCACTCTTTGCATATTTTATATAACAAAGCACCAATTATATAACAGTCCAAATGACTCCTCTAAAAGAAGAAAAACTAAATTTAAGCGCAGTTTTTGCAATATTATGATTGTACAATATTTATGAAAACAACCTTTTGTAAAAGTCGCTAATATTATAGGACCCTAAACAAATATACAAGATACAAATTTTCAGTTTATGGTTTATACGAAAAAAGAAGGAGCCACAGGTGCTTCTGTTCGACAGGACCTAGTCAATGCAAGAATAGCTCATTATATTACCATAATGCCACTATGATAGGAAGATGGCCACATAGCACTGTCACATAGTCCCTAGAGAAATGTTCACAATGTAGCTACAAAGTTTGTAGAAAAGAAGACATTTGCACTTGCTATAATGCTCTATGTTCAAGTACATTTCGCCAAATTCCAATCACTTTTAGTTCTTATTAAATGAGAAATTTTGATTTAGTCGTTTGAGTATCCTAGGGCGTCCGCAGACATCTGGGCATTTTCACCACCTGGCAACTATCATGGTGAAAACAAAGCCTGATAACTCCAAAAAAACTGCACTTTAAGATAGTTGTTGAGACTCTCCTGAACAGTGCAACAAGATTACCCCTATATACATATGCAACATATATAAATTTGGATGCTCAGGATTATATGTACTTCAAAGTTGAGTTCATGATGTTTCCTTGACTTTAGCTGTTTTCACGGGCCTTCCACAGCAGCTCGCACAGAGCCCATAAAAATACATGGTAGAGTGGTACGCATCTTAGCAACATAGAACGTTATGTGACGTAGCTCCCCCCCCAAGAATTGAGGGATGGTATTTAAGGAGATGTACAACATAGATCCAATAATAGGAAGCAAGCATGTATGAGAGTTTTAGATCAGAGTACATTACATGACTGCATAACAAAATAATGCATGCAGTACAGTACATTGAAAGTCCATAATTTCTCTTTGAGGATGAATTAATTGTTTTTTTTTTAGATTTTCTTTTTTTTTATTCGATTTATTTAACTTTTTACTGCCACCCAATTTTACTGAACATTGTTAGTATTATTACATTATACGAGCAGAATTATGAAACCAGAACCAACCTGACTTCTCCTCTGTGTAATGCCAGATGATTTGATCGCAATGTGTATAACACAGATGGTTCCCCATCGACTACACACAGTGGTACTAACACAGCACCCGTCAATTCAGCATCTTTCGTCATCTTCCGTAGTGGCCTGACATTCGACATCCTTTTGATCGTACTCTTTACATTCTCATCTGAAAACACTGAACTCAAATATCTCACAGAATCAGAACTGTAATTCTTGTGAGCAATATGTTTCCATGGACACCATGTGGAATACTTTGATATAATTTTGGGGTTCCATAATCTCCATCCATGTTTCAAGACTCTCTGAGACATCATTTTTTCAATCAATTATCGTTTCTTTGTTCTCATTCTCACTTTGAGAAACAGGTACTTATCTGCATTAATACCTGTTGAAATGGAACATGAATACAAATTATGACATTTTGATTGTAACTGGCACATTTGAAAACACTGTAGGTTTAAATTGCCACCTGAAGAAGCTGTTTTATTCCAGATTATTGGGATACCAGTTGCTATGCATAACATACTTGAAACCGTTTGAAATCGTCGGGCTGGGTACACTTCCTATAAATGCTGGAATGTGAAATAATAGTGAAAAAAAGCGTAATAACAAAACAGTAAAAAAAAATAGAAATATTAAAAAAGCCATACTATACTCATCCAATTTAGTACCCAGGGTACTCAGCTTATAAAATTATGTATTTTTTATGAGGGTGGCGCTTAGTCGAGCACCCCACTCAAAAAACTGGCGAAAAAACAATTTTCATTAACTATGTGCCAGAATAGGGGGAACATGACATTTTTTTTTGGTGGAATTAAAATTGGGAAATGAGTTACATCATCATTGATTTCCACTACACTGTTACAAGGACAAAACAGAAATGATCAGAATATGCACATTTTATTTCAATATTATTTACATACCATCAGAATTTAATATTATTCTTTATGGACTGGATACGGCTTTTGCAGCTCGTGGTCGTTCAGCGAAAGCGCCCTTTTATCATATACCTTATATGAAAAAAAAGTCTTTAGTTATGTTATTTTTTGCTCGTCTGACCCAAAGGAAAACCTATTCGATTTAATCCGGGTTTCGATACAGGCCGTTTTACTGGCGCGGATTTATACGGGGGATTCTAAACGACGCAAACGCGTCAGCAACTCTCACACAATACACAAACGAATGTCGCCAAATATATCCACAAATTACGTTTTAATGAAACAGCAAATGAACGTAAATTTATAACAATATTTTAACAGTAATCAATACGAACTCATTATAAACTTTCTTTAAGAATGAACACTACAGTCCAACTAAGTTGGTCATATACATAATACATAACAAACGGATGTTTTCTTGGAGCTGATGTTGTAGCCGCAGGTAGAGACACGTTGATTTCACAGTTGTTAAAACTGTAGTCGGGGAACGAGAAACAATTGCTTGACAAGAAGCAGTTTGGTTTACAGTTCTAGATTCGAGTGTAGCTCAATTAAGAATATCGTAAATGAGCCGACGATCTTCTGTGGAGACAGTATTGTAGTACTGTAAACACGTTTTTGTGACCATTTATCTCTATGATTGATTGTGGTGGAATGCTGGCTTTCGTCAGAGTACGTAATAATAAGTCCAACTGGTGTTTCGGTATATTTCCTATTCACTGAATAATATCGTCAGCCATTATCGAAGCGCAGATGATAATCTCAAATTACGCACGTTGTTTGTAAACAGAAAGTTCCAGGAAATAGACACGTTTACCAAATATGGTAAACGGGGCCCGGGCATGAATTTAAACTCAGACTAGTAATTATTACTATTACTAGTATTGCTAGTCTAAGATTTTAATGATGAGATGCATCTGTTTAGGTATATAGCGTACTAACATTATCTGAACACCTAATCCAGTTCAATTAAACTGAAACATTTCTATAACTTATAATTATTTTAGAGTAAATGGGTAATAAATAAATAAATAACGAAACTCATTTCCTCCCCAAAATCATATATTTGTTTTTAAAAATATAACTTGTAATGTATTCCTTCAATAGCTAAATTGTCTATGTTAATTTGCCCAATTCACTTTTGTAAAATAAAATGTCGGAAGCAATACACGATTTTTGTAGCAATTCAGGTCTGTAAATTAGTATTCATTTAAAAATAGCTTGAACACTAATCAGATCAACTTATCACAATTGCTGGTAGTATAGTACAAACAATCAAATTCACCTGCAATGTGCGTCCAGAGATTTGCACATCGATTGGAATTGTGTGCTATGCAATGGGCAATATAACAGTTATTTTCTCTCCAAGTTCACTGTCTACTAAAAAGACTGGCACACCTTTTCACATATCAGGCGTAAGTGGGATCCGATTCTGTTCGGCCAGCGAGGGTGCCACTTATACCTACATGTCAGGTCAGGCTAATTCTAACCCTACCCATTGAATTAGAATTGTGGTTAGGGGTGGGGGCTACAAACAAATACCATTTATTATTATACATCTGTCACCATAACGCCATAAGTTACAGCATGCCGTAATTTTGCAATATTGCACTGGCATATCAGGAAACATGAATTTCAAATATGGAAAGCTTACGCGCATAAGCGTAAGCGTAATAATAAAAAAAAACATGGCTGGCACCAGGGTTTGACCGCACCACACACAAAGAAGTTTGCTAAATCTGTTCTAAACGATGTATTCCTGGGAGGAAAAAGATGTATAATAATAAGGTTATTACGAGGATACTGCAAAGTATGCACTCGAACAGTTCGCAGTTGCATCGACCTTCACTGTGCGTCAGTCGATACTCCTGTTGTATTGTCTTCGCGCATATTTATCAGTATCATCGTAATAACCTCTTAATA